GTCCCCGGGCCGCCCCCGCGCCGCTCCCCGGCCCCCGCCCCCGCGGGCGCGCATCCTCCGCCGCCACCGCGCGCCGGACGCAGACAAGCGGCGCGAGCGCACACGGACGCGGAGCCTGCCCCCCGGCACGACCGCCCGGCGGAGGCGCAGGCACAACGCGGGCACACGAGGAGGCGCGCGCGGCACTCCGAGCCGGCACACACTTGTTGAGGAAACACATCTCTGCGCGCAGGGCACAGACGTCAGCTGGCACAGACACACAGAGGGGAGGTGCAGATACACACGGACTCCCTGGGTAGACACCGACCTAGAACAACCCAAACGGGATTCGCACAACAGAACACACAAACATCCTGCACTTGCGGTGTAGAGAGCACACACAGAAACAGATCCACAATGCGCACGGCACAAACACAAATTCACAACACATGATACACACGACACAACACACAATAAAGAGGCAATTACAGAGTATGGACATAGATACATAGGAGAGACACACCGTGTACACAGCATGGACGCACAACAAAACATACACATAAAGTAGACAAACAGGCATAGAGCCACAACACAGTAACACGGGTGCACAAGAGAAACAGAGTACACCAACAGCAAATTGCACACAAACGTAATGCACCGAAACACAACACAAAGATACAGTTGCAAATACATACCGCACACACAAACACAACATTTAAATAAGTGGTACACAGTGAAAGACAGCATACAGAGTCATAGGGATAGCAGATTGAGGAAAGGGGTGTGGCTCCAGTCATATCCAGTCCTTGCCCTGGGGAGAATGGGCAGAAATGTCCCCATCCAGACTTACTCTTTGGGGGTTGGGGGCTGGAGAATACTTGCCAGCCCCTCTCCTTATCCCTCAGCCCTCTTCTCACCTGCTACCATCACACTGCACAGACACCCGTGAGGCTGTGGAGTGTGGACATCATGGGTGTAGCGGGTGGACCATGCCCCCCCAGCCCCCAGTCCTTCCTGTTGACTGTCAAGTTGCCCACCCTTGGCCCCCTGCCTCTGGGCCTTGGGGTGTGATCTCTCTGGCTGGCTGGGTCTACTTTTAGGATGCACAGGGCAGAGATTACAGTTGGAAGCACTTACCTCTGGGTCTCATAGGCCAACTGCACTGATTACCGGCCGTGGGACCCTGAACATAGCACTGCAACTCTTAAACCCCAGTCTCCTCATAGAGTTGTTGGGAAGGTTAGGGTGAATGTATGCAAAGCCCCCGGCAGCCAGTGGGTATGCAGTAAGTGATTATCATACTTTGTCAAGAAATTATGTATTCATTGAGTGCCCCCCTGGGTAGGACTAGAACCGGGAGCTATGGGGCCCACAGTCTCATGAGGGAGTCAGATGTTGGCTCAAGCAGCAACAACATGCATATATAAATATGAGGGGCGTGGTGCAGCGAGCTGGACGTGGAATTGGAGGAGTCCTGGCTTCAAGTCCACCTCTGCCTCTGAGCCAGAGTAAGGTGTTGGGTGAACTATTCCCCCTGTAGGCCACATTCCCTATCTGTTCAAAGAGGGTAGTGGTACTACCCCAACTCACAGGGCCATTGCAGAGATGAGGACCAAATAGCATAATGCAGGGGCGGGTGTTTTTGTCAATGAAAAAGTGATGGGCAAGATGAGGAGTGGTTAAAATACTACAAAAGGAGAAATGATAAATGCCACTAGAAAGGTATAGTTTCACCTGACCGTTTAGAGGCAAATCCAACTTTGAATTGAGAACTGTCACAGAAAAGGTGGCATTCAGAGGAAATGTGGAGATAGGAGGGAGGCATTCCAGGCCTAGGGCATGGTGTGTGCAGTAGGCCTGGGACGGAGTGAGTTGTGTCCGCTGGACTGGAGTTCAGGGTGCAGACGGTAAGGCTGGAGGAGAAGGTGGAGCTGAGTGTCCTGGGCTGAGTTTGGTTTTCAGCCCACGGCAAGTCAGGACCACTGAGCAAGGTTGTAAGTTATGTGTATCCGAGAGAGCCTCGGGGAGTTTAGAACTGAGAAGGGCCATGATCTGAGTTTGCTTTGGGATCTGGCAGAAGTAGGTTGAAAGCATGGACAAACCAGAGAAAGACAAACAAATCATTTTTTAAAAAAATGGGTTAAGACTATCAACAGGCAATTCACAAAAGAGGAAACCTAGGTGGGGCTAAAAATGTAAAGAGATGTTCAACCTCACGGGTCATGGGAGAGATGCAAATGAAAAGAGCCGTGAGACGCCATTTCACATCCTCTGGACTGGCAAGGGGTAAGCATTCTATCAATGTTGGGAGAAGGGTGGAGGGGGTGGAGAGGTGGCACCCTTGGAACCCTTGTACAGTCGTGATGGAGGTGTAAACTGGTACAGCTTCTCTGAAGAAGAGGTTTGGCAACATCTAATAAAGTTGAAGATGCTCTTGTCTACAATTCAGTGACTTCACTCACTCAGCACATAATTATGAAAAATGAGGAACTGATTAACTGTCCATCAACAGCAGTGCAGATAGATAAATTGTGATCTATCTGTGCAATGGAATAATATACTGGGAGGGAGAATAAAATGAGGCTGTAGCCTCAACATAGATACAGTCTAGAAAAAAAAAAAAAGAAAAAGGGAACATCAAGTGGTAGAATAGTGTGATACCGAAAGTTTTTTTTTTTAATTCAAAACTATGCTATATATGTATTTTTAGGGATACAGTCAGATAGTGAAAGTGTTAAAACATGCATAGGAAATCAAAGACACTACATTTAGAATAGTAGTTACCTCTGGGAAGGGAGGGATGGGAATGAGATCAGAAAGAAGAACACAGGGGATTTAATTTTATCTGTAATGTTCTATTTTTCAGAAAAAAAAAATCTGAAGCATACACAGCAAGGTGTCAAGACTTGGCAAAGCTGTGGGTGTCTTGTCTGTAATTCTTTGCAATGATCCTTCTCCTCCTCAAGTCCAAAGCTTTTTCTCTATTCTCTGTACGTTTGAAATATTTGGTAATTTTAAAGATGGGGGCGGGGGCTGGGAGATCACAGCAGAGGAGGTTTAGTCACAGCACTAACCTGTCACATATGCAGGGCCATCAGACCTCACAGTGTCCTAACATGTCTGTTCCCTGAGACTTGTCACAGCGTGGTGAACCAGGCATGGCAGGCATCAGATCTGTTCACAGGGGAAAGAACAAAAGCTTGGAGAGGTGGAGTGACTTCCCCAAGGCCGCACAAAGTAGAGGGAAGGACTCTTACTTTCAGCTGTGTCTCAGGGGAGACCAGCAAAGGCCAAGGAATGTCGAGAGAAGGTCTCCCACCTTGCAAGAATCTATCTTCTTCCATCTGCGGCCCTCTTCTATTTTTGCTTTCAATTAAGGACACTATGGAAAATATAGAAAAGCACAAGGAAGAAAATAAAAGTCACCTGTGGTTTTCACTGTCTTACTTTTTAAGTCAGCTTTATTGAGGTATAGGTAATTCACATTAAAAAATTCACCTATTTCAAACGTGCAACAGTACCTTAATTCTAGAGGACATATTTGTTTGAGTCCTAGACCAGTTAGTATATATGAAAGTGCTCTACAAAGAAGAAAACACTTTTCACAAATTTGAATAATTATGATTATAATAAAGGTTTTGGAAATCATTGACAATAATTATTTGGAAATAATTAAGATTTCATCCGTGAAAGCAGATGGCCAGTAGGTGGGCCTGTGTTTTGTTGCCTGAATTTGGGGGTCAGTTTATAATGGCCTCAGCATGGAGGTGCTGAGAGCTTTCAAATTATAGTAGAAAGGATGACTTTTAACACCATTTAAAAATTAAAAAAAAAAGAAATAGTTGATAGGGTCAGACTGTGGCCTGTTGAAGTGCTTGTGGCCTTGGTTGGCTGCTAAGCCATAAACACCTTTACCTGTGGCTTTTGTGGGGAAACGAGAGACATCGAGTGTCTGTCCTCTTTGGGAGCCCAGGGGCGCCTCCATTAGGATGTAGGAGATCCTGTTGACCCTCCCCGCAAGCTTGCTATGGAACCAGGGGTGGGTCCCTTCTCTCCTCTGATTTGCTCTCCCCATCTGTTAAAAATAAAGTATGGCTTTATTCACACTTGCAACATTCAGCAGCTGGTTAGGGCAATGTGCTGTGGGCAGGTACCCCTAGGAATAAGGGTCAGGGCAGAGGGAGATGTGCCATAAAGGTAAATAAATCCCAGTCATTGGCTTCAAGAAGCCCATATCCAGCAGTAGGGTTGGCGGACAGACACATCAACAGGTCACTGTGATAGTCTGTTAAGAGATGGGATCAACCAACACTCAGGATTGTCAGAAAGTTTATTTTTTTGCCAATACAAACTTTGTATTTTTATTTCTCATTGTGTTTCAATTTTTATTACTGTAATTACTATTAAAAAAATTTCACATATATTAAAAAAAAGAAATGGCTCAAGACAAAGAGTGGTTGTTTCTGAGTAAATACCCACGGTCTCTAAAGTGCTTCTGACTATAAACGTATTTGATTTTATGAAATTAATCTGAGCTTTGTTTCTCCCTCACTGGGTAACCTTGAATAAATCACTTCTCTGGTCTGGGCTTCAGATTTACCCACTGGTCAAAGCATAACGTTTA